CTCGGCACAGGGAGCCCGGCTGTGTTCCCGGCCTCTCCTCGGCACAGGGAGCCCGGCTCTGTTCCCGGCCTCTCCTCGGCACACGGAGCCCGGCTGTGTTCCCGACCTCTCCTTCCCCCGCAGCGTAGGGAGAGGCAGGACAAGTTTACAGGCGGTCGGCTCCACCGCGTTCCGCAAACCGTGCAGGAGCAGAAGCAGCGGCCGGGTGTGGTTTACAGCCCAGGAACATTCAAAGGCCTCGCCGGAGCCTGCAGAGGTCCCTTTGTAGTTGCGCAAAAAGGAACCTTGAAAGTCAACTGGCCAAGCCTCCCATTTTGTGGGTGGGGAAACTGAGGCCCAGGCAGGTGCCGACTCGCCTCAGTCAGTCGGCAAATATTGCCAGAGCTGGGAGGGGGACGTGAGTTCACATCAGAGACGTTTGGCAAAGCAGGTTTGCTTACTTGGGGTCACAGAGGAATCATCACAGAAACAAACACTAATGGGAAAGTCATAGTAGCCGATACCTGAGGACGCTGTTTGCCACGCGCCGGGTGTTGTTCCAAGTGCGTTATCCATGTGAGCACAGTGCGTTCTCCTCCCAGCGGTGAAACACGCCCATTGTTCCCCTGTCAAAGACGAGGAAGCTGAGATCCTAACAAAGGATTGTCCCAGGTCGCACCGTTCCTGGGCGGGAGAGCAGAGACCGGGAGGGAGGCAGCCCAGGGCTGCTGGGGGTGGGCCCCCTGAGCTGTACCCGCCCGGCACCCCCAGCGATGCTGACACATGCGCGCTCTCGGTGGAGAGCCCTGCTCCGGGTGCCTTCCTCTCCCTGCTTCCTCGGGGAAAGCAGGGCACGGACCCTCAGTGCGACGCTGAACAGTTCTCTGCAGGACACGCTCGGCCGGCTGCTTGTGAGTTTTAATGAGTGCCAGAAACCATCTGGGCTGGGAAGCTGCCATATTGGTTTTTGGTCCATTTTGTCCTGCAGAAGTAAATTTGGGACTTATTTATATTTTTCCCTTTTGCCCTGCTTGCCTAAGTACCTAGCCCAGAACGGACCATCGGTAATCAATAAGCTTTTACGGTGCCCTTAAATGACTTGTTTTCCACGCAAAGCCGGCCTGAAAGCAATAGATCAGCCTCGTGGATGGAGACTGTGCTTGTGGGAAAGACAGCACATCTGGCGCGAGGAGCCAGGAAGACGCTCACAACTGCGCCTGCGTTAGGGCAGGCTCTTTCTTGATATCTTTGTACCAGCGACATTGCGGTTCCATTATCATCATTTTTTCAACAAACTAAATCGGACACTTGGCGCTAATTTGGGGGTGATCCTGGAGAGCAGAGGTGGAAACTGGAAGCAGCAGGAACAGAACAAGGGCTGGAAGGGACCGTGTGCTGGTGGGCTGGCTGATGGGGGAGCTGACTCGTCCGGTAGAGCGCCCGTGGCATCCCTCGTCACCAGGGAGCCTATTGGGAAACTGACGCCTGGAAGGAGTGACCAGTTGGAGAGCTCGTACCGGGAGGAGGCTGACTCACAGGAAGGCTGGAGAAGCCGTTTTGGGGCGAATGGGAGATGCCCAAGCAGGAAACCTTAGGGAAATTTGCTGGGAGGGGTGGTGAGATAAGGAGTGACAAATGGGGGCCCCTAAGCCAGGCCTGGGGTGCTGTAGCCTAGTGAAGCAGGGGAACAGCAAGAACCATCCTTGGCCCCGTTTCATGGTCTCCTGACAAACTTCGTAGCTCCTTCAACAACAACTGATGGGGCCGGCACTGTGGCATAGCGGGTAAAGCCGCCACTTGCAGTGCCGGCATCCCATATGGGCACTGGTTTGAGTCCCAGCTGGTCCAGTTCTGATCCAGCTCTCTGCTATGGCCTGGGAAAGCAGTAGAGGATGGCCCAGGTGCTTTGGCCCCTGCACCCATGTGGGAGACCTGGAGGAGGCTCCTGGCTTCAGATCAGCGCAGCTCTGGCTGTTGTGGCCATCTGGGGAGTGAACCAGCAGATGGAAGACCTCTCTCTCTCTCCCTCCCTCTCCTTCGCTCTCCCTCTCTCTCTGCCTCTGCCTCTCTGTAACTCTGCCTTTCAAATAAATAAAAACCCTTTTTTTAAAAAAAGAGCAATTGATGTTAGCTGTGGAATCGTGACAAAGACATCCGTAGACTAGTTCAGCAAATGGAATGATTTTACAGTAATTTCTGTGATACAGTGAAAGATGGACAGGAAATCTTTGCTTTCTTGATTTAAAACACTCCCCAAACTCTGGCCTGCTCAAATGCAAGCTCTCCCTGGACATGCTTCAATAAATAAAGTTTAGGAAAAGGAAACCCATGGGTATTTGAAATCAAGCCACACCTGCCTTTTAAGGCAGGACTCTTTAAGGTCGTATCAAATGCTGTGGAAGAGCCTCCCTTAGTTCAGCTGAGTGTCTTGATCTTGACTCTGCAGGCGAGAGCTCAGAGCGGAGTTTGGACACAACAGAAGGAAGAGCTGCGCGGTCAGTTGTGCGAAGCTTGGGTGTGGGTGTTTGTGTTCCCTCCAGAATTCACACTTCGATGTGATGGCCGGTGCGACCGTGTGCGGGAGTAAGGCCTTCAGCCGACAGTTAGGCTCGTGGGTGGGGCTGGGCCTCAGTGCTGGGCCAAGCGGGCCAGGCCTGTTTGCCCCTCCATCGTCCTGCCACGTGAGGACAGAGGAAGCAGGTTCTTTTTTTTTTTTGTTTACTTTTCTGCTCCTCGACAGGCAGAGTAGACAGTGAGAAAGAGAGACAGAGAGAAAGGTCTTCCTTTGCCCTTGGTTCACCCTCCAATGGCCGCCACGGCCGGCGTGCTGCGGCCGGCGCACCACGCTGATCCGATGGCAGGAGCCAGGAGCCAGGTGCTTTTCCTGGTCTCCCATGGGGTGCAGGGCCCAAGCACCTGGGCCATCCTCCACTGCACTCCCGGGCCACAGCAGAGGGCTGCCCTGGAAGAGGGGCAACCGCGACAGAATCCGGCGCCCCGACCGGGACTAGAACCCGGTGTGCCGGCGCCGCTAGGCGGAGGATTAGCCTAGTGAGCCGCGGCGCCGGCCCTAAGCTTTTTTTTTTAAAAAATTCCTTTTGTTAGAAACTAAGACACAAACCCACTTTAGCCCAGGCCTACACGAGAAGGGGCAGTAACACACATGAAGCTGTCGTCTGCTATGGGAACAATGATTCCTTTTTTTTTTTTAATATTTAGTTTTTTATTTGAAAGTCAGAGTTACACAGAGAGAGGAGAGGCCAAGAGGGAGAGGCAGAGAGAGAGAGGGAGAGAGAGAGAGGTCTTCCATCCGATGGTTCACTCCCCAGATGGCCGCAACGGCCGGAGCTGGGCAGATCCGAAGCCAGGAGCCAGGAGCTTCTTCCAGGTCTCCCATGTGGTTGCAGGGGCCCGAGTACTTGGACCATCTTCCACTGCTTTCCTGGGCCATAGCAGAGAGCTGGTCAGGAAGTGGAGCAGCCGGGTCTCGAACTGGCACCCAAATGGGATGCTGGCACTGGAGGCCAGGGCGTTAACCCACTGTGCCACAGCGCCGGCCCCGGGAACATTTGGACACCCCCTGGAGGACCTGCGTGGGGCTGTTTTACAGTTATTTATTTTTCATAAGTACAACATGTGTTCTCTGAAACAATGATAAAAAGCATAGTTTAGTAAATACTGATTTGGAACACAGTGACATACAAAAACCGGCCACTAAAGGTGGAAGGAGCCAAAAGGCTGGGGAAGAGGCAGACAGACCCAGGCCTGCACAGATCATGGTTTGTTAGGGACTTAGGGACAGACTGTGGTTTGTTAGGGACCTATGGACGGATCAGGGTTTGTTAGGAACCTAGGGATAGATCATGGTTTGTTAGGGACCTATGCACAGATCATGGTTTGTTAGGGACCTGGGGACAGACTGGTTTGTTAGGGACCTAAGGACGGATCATGGTTTGTTAGGGACTTATGGACAGAAGCTTGTTTTGGGTGGCAGCAAGACACCGGGATCCCTTCCCCCCACACCAGGAAGGGGTTCACAATGCTAAGCTCGACAAAGCTGCCCCAAGGCCAACTGGGACAGACTATTCAGCAGACTATTATATTTTTTAAGATTTATTTATTTATTTGAAAGTCACAGTTATGGGGCGGGGGGTGGGGGTGGGACACACACACATATACACACACAGAGAGAAAGAAAGAGGGAGAGAGTGCTCCCATCTGTTGGCTCATGCCCCAGATGACTGCAATGGCTGGGGCTGGGCCAGATTGAAGCCAGAAGCCAGGAGCTTCTTCAGGGTCTCCCGTGTGAGTGCAGGGGCCCAAGCACTTGGGCCATCTCCCACTGCTTTTTCCAGGCCATTAACAGGGAGGTGGATCAGAGATGGAGCTGCCAGGACTCGAACCAGCAGCCGTGTGGGATGCCGGCATCGCAGGCGGCAGCTCTACCTACTACGCCACGGCACCGGCTCCCGGCGGCCTGTATTTCATGACTTTGTTTAACCTGTAGGTTTTAGATGAGTTCCTGGTCACCCGGTGGGCAAGATGACGGCTACAACCAAGATGGCCGCAGTCACGCCAAGCTGACCCCCATGGGCCCACAAACCAGTAACACCACTGCGTACGATCGTCAGTGAGCGTTTCATACATGTGCTGTGCTTTCACACCAGGCTGGCGCGGTGGCCGTGTGCACACCAGCATCGTCACAAACACGCGTGTAGTATGAGGGACTATGATGTTGCATGTCACTGGGAGACGGGAACTTTTCAGTTCCATGGCAATCTTAGGGGTCACCATGTACACAGGACCTCTCCTACCAGGAGGAAGCACCTGGCTCCTGGCTTCGGATCAGGGTAGTTCCGGCTGTGGCGGCCATCTGGGGAGTGAACCAACAGAAGGAAGACCTTTCTCTCTGTCTCTATCACTGTCTGTAACTCTACCTGTCAAATAAATAAATAAATAAAAAGGACATCTCCTTGGCAAAAACGTGCTGTGTGACTGAACGGAGCTTTGGTCTCTTTCAGCTCAAGAGCCCAAGCTAAGCCAGCGTGGACGAGGGACACGTCCTTGAACTCTGAATGTGATCTGCTGCTGTGGTGCCCGGACGGGGTGGCTTCGGAAGGCCGTGTGAGGGCAGTCTGTCCTGTCTGCCCACCTCGCCTTTCTGGTAAAGACAGGCAGGGATGCGGAGGCGTGGCCACTCCTGATTCGGGATGAAAGCAACCAAAGCCGTGACTTTCACCACCACGCACCGATCGAGAGCTGGGAGGCGTGCCAAGCACCGCATCCTAACCTCTCTGACACCTACGAGCAAACCGTGAACCAGAACCTGGAACAGGTTACGTCTGTGCTGGGAGCCTGCTTCTAAATAACTCACATGTTTTGGAACAAAAAAAACCCACAACCTTCCCTGGAGCTGGAAGAGATCCCGAGGGAATGGGTGACTCAGACTGTAGACAAATACATTACACTGCCCGTTCAGGCTGCTTCTGTGTGGGCGCTTCTAAAAAGACATGCGGACACACGAGCGCTCCTTAGACTCTAATTGGCTTAACGTATTAATGACCATGTTGCAAAACCGGGACACCAAGCTAGCGAATCTAATCGTGGAAGGAGACTCCGACTGCAGATGTCGCTGATCAGGAAAACATTTCCCTGCATTTCCTCCAGATTCCTGTCGCGGCTGTGGACGGTGGTGCTTCCCTGAGACTGCAGCATCGCCGAGCCACCTCGCAGAGTTCGCGCGGTGCGACATCTCCTTGGGAGAGAATCGGCTGGACTGGGAGTTGACTGCAAGGCTCAAAGGCAGTCCACTGGGGACAACGGCCAGGGACCACACCTGCTGCCTTTTATACTTCGTGTTTGTGTGATGGACACCTAGATCAACCCCCACAAGAAACCCTTTGTATGCTTTAGAGAAGAGAGAGAGAGAGAGAGCGCGCGCGAGCTTCCATCTGCTGGTTCACTCCCCAAATGGCTGCAATGACCAGGGCTGGGCCAGTCCAAAGCCAGGAGCCAGGAGCTTCTTCTGCATCCCCCTGGTGGGTGCAGGGGCCCAAGCACTTGGCCCATCCTCTGCTGCTTTCTTAGCTGCATTAGCAGGGAGCTGGATAAGAAGTGGAGCATCCAGAACTCAAACTGGTGCTCATACGTGCTGCCGGCATCGCAAGCGGTGGCTTGACGTGGTGCGCCACAATGCTGGCTCCAAGAAATCTTTCACAAAAGGAAGGGGCCCGTGGGGTGTTCTCTTCCTGCTTCCAAGGTTGTGGAGATGCGGTTGGAGCCGGTACAACCCAACCTAGCATCACAAGGGGCAGAGAGAGATCCCGCCTACTCAATTAAAATGAACCCTACAAGCCATCAACGCTTGCTGAATCCTACGGAGGAAGCAAAGAATCTTAAAGTACTTTTCTCTGGCCTTAGGAAGCTTGGGTTTTGAGTGCAGCTAGGAGATGCACCGTCCTGCCTGAGGGAGCAGAAGGGAACATAAAAACCAAAGGATCTCCGGTCTGGGGCAGACTTTGCGTCTAAGCAGCTGGTGGCCTAGCCTTCCTCCACCCTTCAAGCCTCCTTGTATACTACCCAGAGAGGCACTTTAGAAAGGTGGGCTTTACAAAAGAAACAGGGGGGGCCTTTGGCGTGGAGGTGTAGGTGTCTCTTGGCACGCTCACCTCCCATATCAGAGGGCCTGGGTTCGAATCCTGGCTCTGCTCCTGGTTGCAGCGTCCTGCTAATGAGCACCCTGGGAGGCAGCAGGTGTTGGCTCAAGCAGCTGGGTCCCTGCCACCCACATGGGAGACCCAGATGGAGCTCCAGGCTGCTCGCTCTAGCCTGGCCCAGCCCTGGCCGCTGTGGGCACTGGGGGCCGGGGGGCAGTAGATGGGAGATCTCTACCTTTCAGATTAAATAAGCAAGTAGATAAAAAAGATAGGCAAGCGAGAGACATCACTCCATTGCTCCTCGCGGTCTCTGCTGGCTCGTGACTCTTGGTCGTGTGTCTTTCCCCTCCCTGGCTCTGTCTGAAGATATTCCTGTCCCTGGTTTGTGAAATGTGACTGTGAGGTGCCCTGGTGCGGTTCTCTGTGTGTTTTAGACTCTGAGCTGAGATTGTTTGTTCAGCCTTTGATCTGCGGATTTATGCTTTTTTTTAAAAAAAAGAAAATTTGGAACATCTTTAGCAAAACCAAAAAAAAATGAGTGCTGGGGTTAGCAAGAGTCCAAATCAGGTTCAGGCCTGAGTTGACTGTTTATGTTCTGATCCTTGATTTTCTCTATGGTAAAACAGGGACAATAATACCTACCCCTGAGGACCACAGTGAGCCCTAACCAGGTAAAGGAGGCCCAGTGACATTCTGAGACAACTGGGGCTGGTGTTGTGGCCCAGGGGGTTAAGCCACCACCGGCAACGTCAACATCCCACGTAAGCACTAGTTCAAGTCCTGGCACTCCTCTTCTGATCCAGCTCCTTGGGAAGACGGCAGAAGATGGCCCGAGTCTTTGGGCTCCTGTGTCCTCCCTGGAAGTCTGAGTTGCCTCCAGGGAGGGAATACAGATATCTAGGAGGAAGCATTGTGGCTTTTGAAACCCAAACAGGCTCTCTCCTAGTGCACCTGTCTTCCGTGTGCAACTTGATTGTGAAATGCATGAATTTCTGAGCTGAGAGGTCTACAAAATGCTGGGCGCACTGGCTGGGGAGGTGCGCTCACGGAGGCCACAGGCTGAGCACCGGCAACAGAAGCCCTGGAGCCGCCCAGAGGTCCTAACACCCCAGGGGGAGATCCAGAGTCCACAGGGGCCTCCTCCGAGCCCCAGACACCCAGGGCTGCTATGGTTTGAACTTGATTTGCCTCCCAAACTCATGTAGGACTTTAACCTAAGTTCATGGTATGAGGAGGGTAGAATGTCAGCCCAGTTTTGGTATTTGGTCGGTGAGCCGGCCGGAGGTCCTAAGTCGTTGGTGGCAGGCCCGGCTGTAAAAGCCGAGTTGGGTGCACCTCCCCGCCCCCTCTGGTCCCAGTTTGCTGTGTGGCCATTCCTCTGCACCTGCTCTGCTGCCATCACCCCTGCCCTCATCGGAGGCCAAACCAAGGGGCCCTTGAACTTGGACTTGAGCCTCCAACACTGAGCTAACTCTACCTCTCTTTTTCCTGCGTAAGTAATTATCCCAGGTGTTTTGTTGGTGTTAAAAAAATCTGACTTGTAAAAGGGGAGAGTGAATCTTATCCTATCAAATTATCTATCTGGAGTGGGGTAAAACAAATAGTTTTTAGTCAAGCACGACTTGAAAATGCTAATGCGTACACACCCTTTCTTGTAAGCTATCAGAGGCTGTGCTACCAAAATAAAGGGGTACACCAAGAAAGAGGAAGACGGGGCTCCAGGGAACATGGTACTCAACACCAGGCAGAAGGAAGAGACCCCAGGCCAAGGCTATGAGGGAGACCCAGCCCCTGTCCAGAGGGGGAACCAAGGGTTTAGGAGCGACAGATCCTGGAAGAGAAACGAAATCGGTAAGTTAGTTCCCTGCTCTGTTTCATCAGGCGGTAAACAGCAATATTCAGAGGGTTCCTGTAACTGGTGAAGGATTTTAGGAAGAAATAACAAAGAAACCAAGCAAACAAAAATGAGAGCTTACTAGAATGAGGGGGAAATTTAGAAAGATGTGTAGGAATGAATTAACTCATAGATCCAGGTTGTAATAGGATAAACACAGGTAGGAGGGGAGACTGGGGGTCCCAGGTGAGACGCAGGACCAAATGCCCATTTTCCATCACAGGAATCAATAGAATGGATAAGTCGGGAAGAACGATTGTGTTTAGAATTATGGATGTAACCATCGGAATAGCAGAAAGGGCTGACAGTGCCGTCTTCCATCACAAGGCTTGTAGTTCTATCTGATTTTAACTCATACATGTATTTCTTGAATGATTTAAAAACATAACTGGCAAAGAGAAAAGAAGCTAAGAGGTGATGGCCTTGAGAGAAAGGGTTCTAGATTTGCATGGATGAGTGTGATGACCTTGAGAATTTAAGCAGGTCAGGCTCTGAGGATGTGGTCATAGAATTAGTGCCATCAACAATGCATTAGAAGGGAATCGATGGCCGTCACGCCCCCGGACAGGATCGATGTGCAGACTCAAGTGCTGCTGGGGAGGGTGAGGGGCGGGCCCTGGTGTGGGAAGGCTCCGCCTTGCTCGTCCCCACCTCCCCCTTGGACCAAGGTTCGGGTGAGAAGCGTTGATAGAAGACTCAAGGCCATTTGGGAACGTGAGACTCAGGCCAGTGTGTGCCTCCCTCCCCCAGAGAAGCTCGAGATCATAACAAGCCTTTGTAGAGAAGCCCCCTGCCCTCTGTGGGGTGGGAGCAGCAGAGGCAGATGGCGGCACGACCCCTGGGGACAGAGGGCCCCAGGACCCTCGATCGTAGTTAGCTTCTGGGCCTCTGGTCGCGGCCTTCTTGCTGGCAGAGTTCCCACAGCTGAGAGCAGCACACAGCCAAAGGGAGCAGGTGCGTCCATGTCTCTGATGCCTTATGAAGCCACGAGGCTGTAGCCACAGGCTGCACCTTAGCTCCCAACCCAAACCTTCCAGAGGCCCCGCCTTCAGAAGCCATCATTGGGTTGTCCCCACCCGCTTCGTTCTGCTAACGTACGACTTCGGGGTCCAAAGCTTTCACACGCGAGTCTTGTGGGGGACATTCATCACCCAAACTAATATCCAGATCGTAGCACCCTCTAAAATATTTATTTATTTGAAACTCAGACTTACAGAGGGAGAGGGAGAGGGAGAGGGAGAGAGAGAGGGAGAGGGAGAGGGAGAGGGAGAGGGAGAGGGAGAGGGAGAGGGAGAGGGAGAGGGAGAGGGAGAGAGAGAGAGAGACCTTCCATTTACTGGTTCACTCATCAGCTGGCTGCAATGGATGAGGCTGGACTAGGCCAAAGCCAGGAGCCAGGAGCTTCTTCCAGGTTTCCACAAGGGAGGCAGGGCCAAGCACTGGGACTGTCTTCTGTTACTCTCTCCTGGCAATTAGCAGGGAGCTGGATCAGACGTGGAGCGGCTGGGACTCGAACCAGCACACATATGGGATGCCAGTGCCGCAGCTGTGGGAAGGCTCCACCTACATCACAACGCTGGCCCAAATTCCCAGTTCTTAATGGCTGGAGACAGTGATGTTTTATTTCATGCACCTGCTACAGGTCCACCTGGTGATCACTTCCCGTGGGCCGCCTCCAGGGGCCCAGGCAGAGGGAAAGGCCACTGGTGACCGGGGCAAGGGAGGGGTGACCTGCTTCCTGGCTCTTTGAGGTTTCTCCCCGGCGTGGCACACGTATCTGCTGCTCATGTTTCGTGAGCCAGTACGCGTCGCATCACCCGGGGAAGCACCGTTTCTCCACACATCCAGAAAGGAAAGGGCAGCTAAGCTGGGGAGGAGGTCGGTGAAGCCGCAGGGCCCGAGACCACGGAGAGCGCCGTGAGCTCCCACGGGAGGTGGGTGAGGCCCTCGGATTTCTTGGAGATGCCGAGGGACTGATTCTAACTCCCAAGGACCGGTCAGGACAAAATGAGAGTCTAGTGTGTGTGGGAGCGGGGTCTCACTGTGTGTGCTGCCCCTGACTTGAGTGGGTGTGCAGGGAGACGGAGCCAGCACGGACGTGGTGGAGGGGTCCTGGGAGCCTTGTGCCTCTAAGCAGAATAGAGGCGGAAGGTAGAGAAGAGACCGAGTTAAAGACCCTGTCCTGCCCTGGGGCGTTGGCACCTGCTGTGCGTGTAAATCCTCTGGCACCAGGCTTGGCAGGCAGCAAACATCCAACAGTGGCTCCATCCGGCCCTTCGCTCCCTTTTCCAACCTTGCACTTGCTTCTGACCCCATGGCTTCCAGGCTGAAGGTTTTAGATACAGGAGCCCAATTCTCTGTGTCTCTCTCACTGTCCACTCTGCCTGTCAGAAAGAAAGAAAGAAAGAGAGAAAGAGAGAAAGAGAGAAAGAGAGAAAGAGAGAGAGAAAGAGAGAGAGAGAGAGAGAAAGAGAGAAAGAGAGAGAGAGAGAAAGAGAGAAAGAGAGAAAGAGAGAAAGAGAGAAAGAGAGAAAGAAAGAGAGAAAGAGAGAAAGAGAGAAAGAGAGAAAGAGAGAAAGAGAGAGAGAGAGAAAGAGAGAAAGAGAGAAAGAAAGAGAGAGAGAAAGAAAGAGAAAGAGAGAGAGAAAGAGAGAGAGGGAAAGAGAGAGAGAGAAAGAGAGAGAGAGAGAGAGAGAGAAAGAGAGAGAGAGAAAGAGAGAGAGAAAGAGAGAGAGAGAGAGAGAGAGAGAGAGAGAGAGACCCGAAGTTTATGAAGAGGCGATGACACTTGGAAGAACTGCACTTCTGTGGATTGGGTCAGTGGCTGGAGGGTCCTATGAGACCAACGTCGCCATGGAGAGGGGGTGGCACTGAACACCATCCTGTGGTGTGCTGCCACCACTGAGGTGATGTTACTTAAACTCCCGAGTGCAGGCACGACTGCTCCTGTCTGTTTCCCAGATGCAGGACAAAGACGGAGAAGTGATGTTTCCCTTCGGTACAGGGCTTGGGGGATGCCGCCCAGAGATGAGCCCTGGGAGCTGAATGGGGAAGCTGGCTCTGGCCCTGCCTGCTGCCACCTCTGGGGTGGCCTCGGGTGAACCCACGCTGCTCATCTGCAGCATGAGTCCATTGGACCGCTGGTCCCCTGAGACCTCTTCTCTGTTAACGTTCAAGTCTATCATGACTGCAGAGGCCACGGGGAAGAGAGGCAAGCAGGGGCGGCCAGAGGGAAGAGGAGGGTGGGGGATGACAACAGAGGGAGGGCCAGGGGAGGGGACATCCAATGCGTGGTCTGTTGAGAATCAAGTACATGGCCTGAAACTCCGTGTCCTTAATGGAGGCTTATTAAATGATGGCGCTGCAGCTGGGCACAGCGGCCGACAATGCATCTCAAAATAGAAAGCATTTATTTGGAAGACAATGATTTCATTTTCCAGGCCGAATTTTCCGTAAAAGAAAACTTAAGTGGTCGATTACATTCTTACCTTTCCGCCTATCTGCCTAAAAGCTATGGTGATAACAGCAGCGTCTTGTGTGTCCTGTGGGCCAGCACTTCCACGGGTGCCTGGGACCCCCTCAGCCCTCACGATGATGTACCCCCGTGCCGGCTGGCGGATCTGCATGCTGTGACTTAGACCTAAGGCACGCACCCCGCAAGGAAGCAGGAACGCCCAGCGGCAAACTCAGGCCCACTTTATTCCAGAGTGGGCCTTCTCTGCCCTTGGCCTCCCACTCTGTCACCGTGACACCAGGAGATGCAGAGACGGCGGGAGCGTGCCCAGTCCTCTAACAGTCCATGGGCTGTCTCCCCTCATCTACTGTCTCTCTCTGTTTTGACTTATCTTCTCCATGACCTTCTTCTTTCCAGATTTATTTATTTATTTGAAAGCCAGACTTACAGAGATAGAGAGAGGGATCAATCTTCCATCCACTGGTTCACTCCCAGGTGGCCCCAATGGCCAGCCCTGGGCCAGGCAGAAGCCAAGAGCCAGGAGCTTCATCCAGGTCTCCCACATGGGTGGCAGGGGTCCAACCACTTGGGCCATCTTCCACTGCTTTTCCCAAGCCATCAGCAGGGAGCTGGGTCAGAAGTGGAGCTGCCGGGACTTGAACTGGCGCCCTGTGGGATGCTGCCGTTGCAGGCCTGTTTACAAGGCCTCCACGCCACAAGGCCGGCCGCTCCATGGTCTCCTTATCACCTTTTCTGCTTCTGCCTGACTTGTAGCCTCCTTTCCCCCTTCTCTCATCTTCGTATTTCGGAACAGGTGCAGGCGGAGCCTGTCCCCTCTGAAATGCTAGGGGTCAGAAGGGGTTTGGAGGGAGGCGGGTTTTGGGACACTTGCATGTTACACGCACAACGCGCAGTCTTGGGGAGGGGGCCCAACTCTGACACATGGAATTCACTTGTGTCTCACCTGCACTCCATGCACGTGGCCCACAGGAACTCTTACACAGTATTTGTATCTTACACAGTATTCGCAGTGCACCTGTGCTTTGGTGCGACTCATCGTGTGAGGTCGGGGGTGGGGGCATCATGTCAACACCCAGACAGCTTTGCGTTTTGGACTCCAGATTTTCAGAGGAGGACGTCCAGCTGCCCTCCATTCCCATCGTTCAAGCACAAGGCAGAGAGAGAAGGTCCGTGCTGCCCAACCCCGAGCCAGCAGGGAAGGCTGGGAAGCCATTTTGCGCCCAGTCGCCATCTACCTGTTGCCGCCTCCACCCCAGGCCTCTGCTGTGATTTTCTTTGGCTTCCGTCCAGAGTCTCCTTGTGCACACACAACCATAAAGACATAGTTCTCGTTCCTTCTCCCTCGCCACAACCTGGGAACCCCCGGCTACTCCACGCTCCGCACTTTTCTGCGTCGACCTAGCGATGCGTCCGGGAGATCCTTGGATTCTTGCTCTCCGAGGGCCTCCTGGTTCTTCCCCACGGCTCCACCGTGTGAGTGCACGGGCGGTTTACTCAGGCAGCTCCTTCGACGCGGACGCTTGGGTGCTTTCCAGGGCTTCAGGACCACAACAGTGCTGTGAGTCATGTGGACGTGTGTCAGCTCATACCTGTCAGGCTTCACCCCAGCAGGGGGTAGTTGGACCAGAGGGCGTCCGCTTGGACTCTTCCTGACTGCTCCCTTTGCTGGGAGTTGTGCTGTGTTGCAGTCTGAGAACCAAGGTCAATGCCGGCTTCCCTGGTGCCCAGCCAACAGAGCGCTTTGTCACACTTCTGGAGTTTTACCAATCTGATCAAGAAAAAATTGTATCCTAGCGTAGGTTAAATTTTTCATGTCGTTGATTATGGGTGCCGGCAAGCATTTCGGATCATTTGTGCTTGTTGTTCTGCACACTGGCCATGACCTTTGCCCAGTTTTCTATTGATCTTGTGGTCTTTTGGAAGGGGACGGCATTGTGGTGCAGCTGATTAAGCCACTACTGGTGATGATGTCACAAATATCAAAGAGCACCCGCCGGAGTCCAGCTGTTCCATTCTAGCTCAGCTCCATGCTCATGAGCCTGGGAAGCATCAGATAATGAATGGCCTGTGTCCTCGGGCACCTGCCCCCCACCGTGGGAAACTCCAACGGAGTTCTTGGTTCTTGGCTTCAACCTGACCTGGTCCCAGCCGTTGTGGCCATTTAGGGGGTGAACCAGTGGATGGAAGACCTCTCTCTCTATGTCTCTCTTTTTGTCACTCTGCCTTTTAAACAAGTAAAAATAAATAAGTCTTTTAAAAAATAAAAATGAATTTCGTACCTTTGAGATACTTCATACTCTGGAAAAAAAGTACTTCCTGAGCTGCAAGCCACCGATTTCCCCCAGTTTGTGACTTTTTTCCTTGTATTGTGCTTTGCTTTTGTTTTCTTTTTTTTCTTTCTTTTTTTTTTTTTCTGACAGGCAGAGTTAGACAGTGACAGAGAGAAAGGTCTTCCTTTTCTGTTGGTTCACCCCCCAAATGGCCGCTACGGCCAGTGCTGCGCCGATCTGAAGGCAGGAGCCAGGTGCTTCCTCCTGGTCTCCCATGTGGGTGCAGGGCCCAAGCACTTGGGCCATCCTCCACTGCCTTCCCGGGCCACAGCAGAGAGCTGGACTGGAAGAGGGGCAACTGGGACAGAATCCGGTGCCCCAACCGGGACTAGAACCTGGGGTGCCGGCGCTGCAGGCGGAGGATTAGCCTAGTGAGCCACGGCGCCGGCCTGCTTTTGT